TCTTAGGTCTTGTACTTCTTTCTGCAAGTTCAAAGGAGAACTACCTAATTCTAATTGGCAATATTCTATGAAATATTTTGCAAAGTATTTCTGGTTGCACATATTGTTCACAATTCCAGTTTCGCTCGGGAACCTCCTGACCACTGTTTTGTCATTCGCAGCAAATCATTTAACGGTGAAGTCCCATCATCATTATTGAAGCTAGAGTAGCTCTCACTTTAAACCTTGCACTGAATTAGTGGTAAAACCCTCTAGCGGGTATTTCCTAAGGATCCCTTGGCCATTGAGAACCTAGAAAACAGCACGCCTAGGAAAGAAGTTTATTTTAAAATCCTTAAAGAATAAACTTGTAGTTTAAAAACATATATAAGATATATATGTAATTTTTTTCTAACTATAATAAGTTCATTGTATAATAAAAAGATAATTTCCTTTTTAGAGTAAATTATGAAACCATAGTAATATTACTAGAACATACACACTTTTATAAAATTACTAGCAATTTGATTTCCTTTATTAATACAACATATTACTCCATTATGAACATGGACATAATTACTACATATGAGATATGAAAATAATTACTACACTAAAATTAGCAAAACCTTCAATAGTCATCATTAAAGCATCCCCTCATGCTCATAGCGTCCCTTGGAATCCTCTCCCAGCTTCATGCCTTAATCAGTACCTGCAAAACATTTTAAAAACATTTCGTGGGGTGAGCGCTAATCGCTCAGTAAGGAATATGGCATATTATAAACTATTAAGGTTCATTATACAATTAAATTACTTAGGACTTTACTACCTACAAAACATGACCTTCATTCTTGACATAACAAGTTATAAAACATATCATACATTTGGGACTTTTCCATAAACATAAGTCATAACATAACCATAACAATATAACATAGAACATAAATGACTTATGAAATATTCATGTACATGGCATGCTTATTTGTTTTGTCTATATACTTGACGATTTCATTAGTCTTTGTTATCTGATCGGATTCATTGAACCATACCTTGTTCTTGGTTCGTCACCTCAAAACTCATGGTTTCCATAAGAATTCCTTCCTCTGATCTTGGTGGTTTATACCTCAAGAGACTCATGGAATTCATTCATTAACATTTCATGATTTTTTTTCATAAGACAACTAAATAAGCTATATGCATTACCATTATGAATGCAAACATATGGACTAACATCTCCCATGCTCAATCGTACTATATTATCCTACTAAAATTTAACTTAATTCAATTTCTCATACAATTCAAGGAATTTTGGTATTAAGTTTATTCAGGGTTATTAGAATTAGAAACAATGGGAATTTCCAAGAAGTTGGATGCCATATAGTTCATCACTTTTCAAGCAATTTTTAATATCTTCCAATTCGAACTGGTTCTTGCCTAAACACAAAAGTTTTAGGTTGTTCTCAAATTTTAACACTTCAAGAATCAATTCAATCGGACGTCTATAAACTTCATTATGACTGATTCAGTGAAGCATGTACAGTATAAGTCTTAAAACAGTCAAATCCGAATTCTATTCATTTTAACCATGTCACCTTCATTTGCACATTCATATTTTTGCCATATTATTCTAAGTATAAAAGGCCATAAAAACCTCCCTTTTTACAGAACCAAAAAGTACCAAAACATCGTCCAACTACAAAATCTCTTATTGGCATAACATCCATATGCACACATACACCAATCAACACACCCATTTAAACAACTCATAACCAAAACATAGCATCACACTCATATTAACATAAATAAATGTAAGTTTCATAAAACCTAGGTGTTATCAATTGTAGTCATAAGGGAGATTTTTCCTCTTAGTATTTAAAGCACAAAGGTACTCCTCTTTGACTCCAAAGTTTCACCTTCTACCTTACACACATAACCACTTTAGAATTCTCTTTTAACTAAAAATTCAGAAAAACTAGGGGTTGAAACTCACCTTTAACCTGAAATTGAAGTTCTTTAAGGGTGGATGGTGATCTCTTTAAAAACAACTTGAAATCCTAAGAAAATTTGAGAATAAAAGCTTGGATAGTAGCTTTTATGGTGGATTTGAGAGATGAAGAAGAAGATGATATATTTGGGGTCTCCAAGGCCGACTACTCTCTCTTTAAACCTTGTAAATATTCATTCCATTGATACTCTAATGTGATTGCACATAAAAGTTGATATAAAGGTATGGCATAAATTTTCATATAAGGCGTTTGGTCATTTCCACCACAACATAAAGATAAGTATCTTAATGTCATTTGACTTCTTTAAAACACTTAACCATTAAGTAATTCTACTAGGTAAATGACTAATTTACCCTTGGTGCACTTTTATGGACACTTAAATCATATGGTTTTGTATGAAAAGACCATTATACCTTGGTTACCGTTTATGCCATTTAACCTTATCAATCAACTTTATAACCATTCTACCTCATTTCTCTTCAGAACATCATCCTTTACACTTTATAATGGCCACATCTCGAAATACAATGTAAATTGACCATTTACCTATTCAAAAAAGAAAATTACTTGAAAAGGTAAATTTCATACCTTAAGGCATCGGAATAATAACGTGGGGTTTACAATTTGTGGTAGCTCAACTTCTAGATTTGGTAACCTTAGTAAACTCATTATTTAGATTTTCAATAAATAATCAGTGGTCCCCTTCCTCTGTTACGTCGGCTTTCATATTGACCACTCTAACTTGTATAGTAACTTTCTAAGTGGTAGAATACCACTGAGTTTAGTAGGGGTGTTCAAAAAAATAAGAGAACCGAATCGAACTGAATTTCTAGTTATCCAAAAAACCGGTTTGGTTTTGGTTCAAAGAAATAAAAAACTAAATTTTCGGTTTGGTTACTAGTTTGGGATAATATGGGAAACGGTTAACAGAAACTGTTATTATAAAAATAAGTTTATTCTAAGAATATATAAAATATTAAATATAAAATTAAAACGGGTTAACTGGTTTTTTGGTTAATTGAAAAACGGTTTTTCCTTTAACTGGTTCGAGTTTAGTTCTAGAAAATTCTGAATCGAAAAACTGGTTTGGTTTAGAAAATCGGTTAACCGGTTTTGAACACAACACAATTTGCCATCATCTAGCTCATTTAAGACTATAATAACCTATCACGTCCTATGACCAATCCGAACAGTCCAATTCACTACACATTTTGAGTAGTAATAAGATAAATGGTTCAATTCCAAGTTCCATCATTAATCTTGTGAAGCTCATTCATCTTGATCTTTCACGATCAACTTGAGTGGTGAAAAGATTAGAAATTGAAAGAAAGAAATTCAGAGTAAAAAGAAAACAAAATTGCAATTGAAGAAGAATGAGAAAAATATATTGCAAGTTGGTACAAATCTGTTTATAAGTGCAGTTACATATTGACAGCTCATTATCATGTTATGATCTTTATATCACATGAAGTAGTATGTGATGTGGGACAAATCTTGCACGTAGATGGTGATTGTGCATCATTTGAATTGCATGATCATCTTAGGCACCTAGGTCTCCATTTTGCAGGATTTTGAATAACATCAAACACTGTAATTGTCAAGATGACGAACAATGTTATTTCTTCTAACTATCTTCTTTAAAGCTTTTTTTCAAATGAAGGACAGAAGTTTCAACCGTTAGTTGATTCATAAACTTCATAAGAGTAATAGAACTAACTATATTTTGAAATCTCTTCTTTTTCTTCTTTTTGATCTTTAGTGAATAAACCAACAACCCCCCCCCCCCCCCCCCCCGCGCAAGCTAAACGACGTAGCGAGTTGAAGCTTGTCACGAAGCACAGTGAATCAAGAACTCGCCAAGGGTTTGGTTAATATGTCCACAACTTGATAAGTAAAGGAAACAAATTGTATAGCAAGTTGTTTTGAAACCACCAAATCACACACAAAATGAACATCAATCTCGATGTGTTTTGTGTGGGCATGGAAAAGTAGATTGGCAACTAGAGCTCTAGTACTTTGATTATCACATGACATAATGAGTGGAGTCACTTATAAACCCAATTTAGTAAATGAATGTTGAATCCATATTAGCTCTTTAGTAGCTTGAGCTAATGAGCGATATTCTGCTTCTGTTGAACTCAAAGCAACAACCTTTTGCTTTTGGGATGCCTAGCTAATCAAATCATTTCCTAAAAAATATACAATGATCGCGTGTGGATCTTCGATTATCAACATTATTCGCCTAATCAGCGTCTGCATATCCCTCAAGATTAAGTAAAGTACTGCATTTAAATATGAACAAAGAAAATATTGAACTGGTAAAATAATGGTGCATATTTCGTAAAGAAGAAAGAAAGAGAAACTTGTCTTTTATACAAGAAGCAAGACTGCCAGCTCAGCTAACAAACTAAAAAGGTATATTAATTAACTAAATTAATTATCTCTACAAGCCCAACTTGGACACGAATTGATTGAACAAAGGACTAGCCAAGGACTTAGTGAAAATGTCTGCAACTTGGAGCTTTGAAGGAACATGCTAGGGAGAAACAAATCCTGCCTTGTATTGATCTCAAACTAGGTGACAATCAATTTCAAGATGTTTTGTCCGTTCATGAAAAACATGATTTGTTGTGATTTGAAGAGCAATGCGGTTATCACACCATAAAGGAATGAGAAGATGATCAGGAACAGGAAAGTCTCTAAGAATGTAGGAAATCCATTGTAATTCACAAATAGTAGAGGCTAAACTTCTATATTCAACTTCTACAGAAGATCTTGAAACAGTAGTCTGCTTTTTAGTTTTCCAAGAAATTAATAAAGAACCAAGATACACACAATAACTATTAATAGATTTTCTGGTATCTGGACAAGATGCCCAGTCAACATCACAAAAAGCCTTTAGATTGAATGAATTGTGAGTAGGGAAAAATAAACCTTTTGAAAGACATTCTTTTAAATATCGGAGAACATGCAAGGTAGCTTCCCAATGACTATGACAAGGTTATTGAACAAACTAACTTAGTTGTTGAACAACATAAGTAATATCTGGTCTATAAATCCTAAATATAGTAATCTTCCAACCAACCGTCTATACTTATCAGGTTTAGAAAGGAAATCATCACTAGTAGCTGAGAACTTGAATCCTTTTGGAAGTGGAGTGAAGGCAGGTTTGACTCCAGATAGTCTTGCAGCTTGAAGGATATCTAACGTATACTTCCTTTGATAAATGTATGAACCATGTGAAGATCTTGCAATTTCAACACCTTGGAAATATTTAGCATATCCAAGATCCTTTATGGTAAACTTGTCATGAAGGAAAACTTTCACAGCTTGAATGTCATCTTTAGAGGAACTAGTGATAATGACATCATCAACATAAACTAAGAGTGTAAGAAATGATGAGGTAGTTGATTTAATGAATAGATAGTGGTCATGAGCTGACTGGGAAAAACCATATGCAATCAAGTGAAAAGTGAATTCATTATTCCATTGTCTGGAAGCTTGTTTCAGACCATATAATGATCTTTTCAACCTGCAAACTTGATCTTTAGTAGCCTTAGTATATCCATCAGGAGGTAATATGTAAACTTCTTCATCTAGATGTCCATGTAAAAAGGCATTGTTTATGTCTAGTTGGTGAACAGGCTATTAATTTCGTAGTAGCCACAACAATGAAAATTCGAACAGTGACTAACTTAGCCACATGTGAGAAACTATCAAAATAATCGATACCTTCAATTTGATTGTATCATTTTGCAACTAATCTAGCTTTGTACCTGTCAACTAAGCCATCAGGTTTAAGCTTAACCTTATAAACCGATCTAGAGCCAATTGCTTTCTTTCCTGTAGGTAATGATGTTAACTCTCATTTATTGTTAAGTTTTAAGGCATTGAGTTCATTTTGCATAGCTTGAACCCAATGTGCATTAAGTTTGGCCTGATTATAAGAATTAGGTTCTTGGACATTAGACACATTTGCCAAAAATTACATGTAAGGTGAAGTGAAAAAAGGAGAGTGAACATAAGGGAAGGTGGGTGGGGTATGAGGTGATGATGTAGCAAGTAAAGTAGTGTTGGCAATGGAAGACTGTATAGGAGATACAACACTTGAGACAAAATCATCCAACCATGCATGCTTCTTTGATATTCTAAAACTATGTCTTAAAGGGGTTATAACAGGAGTAGAAGAAGATGACTCAATGTTGGTAGTTGGAGCTAAGGAGTGAGAAGAAATAGAATGGAAATGAGAGGATGAATCTGCTAAAGAATTGTTAGAACTATGATCAATAGAAGTAGAGAGGTTAGGATCAAAAGACGTAGAACTATGATCTACAGAAATAGGAATAAGAGGTAAAGGAACTTGTGCTTAAGAAATACAAACTTGTTTATATGGGAATGAATTTTCATGAAATATTACATCTCGAGACATAAAAACTGTTTGAGAATGAATATCAAAGACCTTATATGCCTTTTGACCAGGATTGTACCCTATGAAAACACATTTATATGCTTTTGGTGCAAATTTGTCTTTGTGAGGATGTGTGTTTGTAGCAAAACATAAGCAGCCAATTGAAGCAAGTGTTTATGTTTTCTTTCCACTAACCCATTTTGTTGAGGGGTATAAATGCATGACTGTTGATGAAAAATGCCAAGTTCGAGGAAAGGATTTTGATAGTGTTTGCTGAGAAATTCAATACCATTGTCAGTTTTGATATGTTTAACCAACAATTGGAATTGATTTTTAATCATTTTCAAAAATGCATTTAATCTTTGAAAAATTTGACTTTTATGACTTAAGAGAAAAGTCCAGGTTGCTCTACTAAAGTCATCAACTATAGTTAAAAAATAATGAGCACTTGAAATAGATGCAGTTTTGTATGGTCCCCATATGTCTGCATGAACTAATTCAAAAGCAACTTGAGCGTGAGTTATGCTAGTAGGAAAATGAAGTCTATGATGTTTTGACAGATGACATGTATCACAAATGATGCCATCAAAATTAGAACACTTATTAATAAAAGAAGGTTTTCAAGAACAATATGAGAAGGATGACTTAGTCTTTGGTGCCATATAGCAGAAGTATTAGAATCGTTATTGATAATGCAAAAGGTATTACAAGTATGATCAATAACAGAAGGATCAATGCTAGATACAGATTTGGAAGAATATGCTCTTATTGTCTCTAAAGTAAAAGATGGCTTGTCTAAAATGTATAATCTCCCAACTAACTTGCTAATAGCCAAAACTGCTTCAGTCTGTAGGTCTTGTAGAAGACAATGGGTTGGATAAAAAACAAATTTGATAAGTGCAGTCTCAGAAAGTTTATTGATAGATAATAGGTTGAACTTAAAATTTGGAATATGCAAAATCTTAGTAAGTTTCAAATTTGACTGTAAAACAACAGTGCCAATATGATGCACTGGGCTGATAGATCCACCTTGTAAGTATACAAGTGTGGGTTTATGGACTAAGGCATAGGTATCTAAAATTTCAAGGACCTAATCAAGAAAATTCTTAAATCTCAACTTGGGTTGGGGTTTACTTACCTTGTTATGGAGAGACTTCACCAACTCTTCCTTTCACTTGTTTTGCTTGACTTTTTCTCTACTCTTAACCAAAAGAACAAAACCTTCAAACTTCAATATAAACTAAAACTCACAAATCACACAACTTAAGTAGGAATTCTTACCTTAGGAAGCCTTAGGTTGATTTTCTACCCCAAATCACTTCAAAAACCCCTTGGAACTCCTTGATCAAAAGGAAGAAAAGTTGAGAGGAGCAAGGATGGAGAGTTGCATTTTTGAGAAGAAGAATGAGGGGTTTGCTAACTCTTAATTCCTTTTAATGAAATTTATACTTAATCATTCCCATTTTGCCCTTACTCTTCTTTGGGAATTCCATCTATATCCTTTGATTCATTACAAACTCACCCCCATATCAACATATTCTCCATGAAAAATCCTTACAATTAACTCCCCACTTTTCCTGCTAATTAGGGGTAGAATGGTCAAATTGCCCTTAGGGAAGAAAATATCTAAAACTTAACAAACATTTTAATCGGCCTGTCGCCGCGGCGAAACTGTCCAGAGAGTTTTCCCGTGGTTTCAACACATCTTCGCCGCGGCGAGGCTCCTGTGTAAATAATCCAAGATCCTGAATCTAATAATTCAATAAATCTTAATGCATGTTTAAGAATTGTACTTGCAAAATCTGCAAAGTGTGCAAAGTTAATTGCAGAGCCATCAGCTGGTGCTTTTCCTTTCATAAACCTTGTTAACTCTTGTTTAATCAATTCAGACAGTGCATTGTTCCATTCAATCCCTTTGCTAAGTTGTTCACCTAAAACTTCCGAAGGAGTTTCTGTCATATTAGCATAATTCTTAGGCATAGATTTTGATCATTGAACTCTTTGTACCATTTTGGATAGCCATGAAGTTTAAAGCAGGTTTCCTTTGTATCTCCATCATTGTTATAGAACTGACAGTGCCTTTCAGATTTCTTCATCATGTCCTTCCTTTTATACCCATTCTTCCTTATTGTCTCCTTCTTAAAATTCCATGTCTTAGCAAACATAGCAATATTCTGAATATTTTCTATAAATGTTATATGCACCCTCTCTTTGCTTCTCAACTCTCAAAACCATTGAGTAAGCCTTATTTACACTAGGCAAAGGATCCATAACCAATATTTGGTTTCTAATATGATCAAAATTTTCATTCAAGCCCATAAGAAACTGCATCAATCTATTAGAAGAAGTCATATCTGCTACTAACTTAGCAACAGCACAACTACATTGCGGTATAGGTATCAAACAGGTTAATTCATCCCACAACTTCTTAAGCTTTGTATAATACTTCATAACATGCATAATTTCCTTGAGTAATAGAACTAATTTCCCTCTACAACTGGTACAATAGAGGTCCATTACACTCACCAAACCTTTCCTCTATCTCTCTAGCAGAAGTTGTGTATGGGAATGCTTCAACAATCTCTTTCGAGATGGAATTTAATATCCAAGAGGTAACCATAAAATCTACCCTATTCCATTGTTCAAAGTTTGGGGATTCTTCACCAGACATCTCACATTTCCCATTCACAAACCCTAATTTTACTTTTGCACCTAATACAATCTTCATACAACTCCAAGACAGATAGTTATTGTTACCTGTAACTAGAGTAGAAACAAGAATCATTCCTGGATGGTCAGAACTTTGCAAATACAAAGGCTCTCCATTTCGTATATGATTGAACGCCATTTCTCTTTCACTTCCAACATTCGAGCTCCTTAATTCACCATCCATGGCTATCAATTCAAAGTATTATCAAGCTGAAACAAGTATTGTAAATAAAAAAAAAAAAAAGAAATTAGGTTTCAAAAGATCTATAGGATCTAATGCTCTGATACCATGAACAAAGAAAATATTGAATTAGTAAAATAATGGTGTATATGTTATAAAGAAGAAAGAAAGAGAAACTTGTCTTTTATACAAGAAGTAAGACTGTCAGCTCAGCAATTTGCCAGCTCAGCTAACAAACTAACAAAAAATATTAATTAGCTAAATTAATTATCTCTACAAAATATTCAACCAAGATGTTAAGTACCTTTTATATATTGCAAAACATGCTTGTAGGCTTGCTAGAGACTAACCAATGGAGCTTGCAAATGCTGGCTAAGTTTGTTAACTGAGAAGGCAAGATCTAGATGGGTCATTATGAGGTACTGCAATTGTTAGAGTTGGTGAACTCTATTTAATGCTTAGGAACCTATTTTAAAGTGCAGCGAAATATTTACCAAGTAGATTATGCAATTCCAATTTGAACACATCAAATATAAGTGCTGAAAATAAAGAACACAACCATATACATGGTTCGGCTAAATCCACTTTTAGCCTACATCGATGGGGCCTTGTCCAGATCGAAGCAATCCATTAAGTTAAAAACAATTACAAGATATAGTTCAAAGCTGATCTAAGTTACAATAAAAAGAACTCCCTGTTCAACTTTCACTTAGCACCACACTCTGAATCCTTAACGTGTAGCAACTCCTTGGATTTTCTTCAAGCTAGGAACACACTTGAGAACAACTTGTAAACCACCAAGCTTCAAGTATTGACGCTGCGCACCAGTATCAGTAAAGGAACCACATTCCAAGAGCTATCAAGTCTAAGTTTGATATAGTAAGGTTTTGGCGCAAAATGGAAAAGAACCTTGAACCTTAAGAGATAAAAAAAATACTCTAAGAGAATCAGAGTACAATGAAAACAAAGTGTCAAAAGGTTAGTTTCATACACGCAAGAAGGGGTATTATATAATGAAGGATTTCTGGTTCAACAATACAGTGCCAAGTTAGCCAACAAGGGACTAACTAATGTTTGTCCAAATAAGGAAAGTTTTCCTTGTTTTGGTTTAGACCACAAAACAAATCATAAAAAGATATTTTATTCCCTATGACTACTTAAGGATGTTATGACACATGTAGAAAGGTCCTAAAAAGTGAGAGACAAAGATAAACAATATCTTTTTCCCTTTTTCAGACATACAACTCGTGTTGGGTTGCAAATATCTGAAGCAAGAGTGAGAGCACAAACTGTTGTGTACACACACTCTAAACAAAACAAGCAAAGACTCAAGGCTGGCAATTAGTGTGCACACACACAATTCATAAGTTTGACAAATATGAGTTTTCCATAGCAATGCTCCAATGGTGCTGCAATATAAGGTTGGATTTTAAAAAGGAGTGTTAGGATTTGCAACTAAATTTACACTAGTGGACATAGGAGTATCACTTGAGTTTGCATCAGCCATTCTAGTTTTTGATAACAAGTCAGCTGAATACTTAGTTTGTGTAAGTAGAATTCTGTCATCACACTTAGTAGCTTCAAATCTCAAAACAACTCCCCCAAATCCTTTAAGACAAATTGATGATTCAGATCTTTGCTAAGAGAATTAAAATAGCTTAAATCATTGCCAGTTATAACGATGTCATTGATGTAAACGAGCAAATAAAAAACTTTGGCTATAGAGGTATGAAAGAACAAGCTAGAATCTGAAAGTTGAATTTTGAAAACCCAAGCAAGAAGAGCACCTCTGCGTTTATCGAACCAAACTTAAGGAGCTTGCTTTAGCCCATACAAGGCTTTATTTAGTTTGCAAACATGGGAAACTGATCACTTATAAATCCTGCAGGCTGCACCATGTAGACGCTTTCAATCAGATTGCCATTGAGGAATGTGTTATTTATAGCAATTTGTTGTATCTTCCATCCATAAAACACGGCTAAGGTGAGAATAATTTGAATGGTACATGGCTTTACAACCGGAGAAAACGTTTCAAAATAATCGAGTCCAAGAATCTGTTGAAAGCCTTTGACAACAAGCCTGCTTTAAATCTTTGAACACTCCCATTAGGATGATATGTAATCTTATTGTCATATTTCTATGTAAGGGATAAAAGTCCAGGTATTATTTGTCATGAGAGTTTCATATTCAGTTCTCATGGCTTCTATCCATTCTGGAGATTGCAATGCTTCATTCACTGAGTTGGGTTCTTCAAAAGTGACAGTATGAGCAATTTGAGCTTGACGCCATGCAAAATTATCAATTTAAATTGTTTCATTCTAGTAAGCATGGGATGAACATTCTGAGCATTAGAAATTGGCAGGTTTGAAATTGAAAAACAATAGTGCTATTATAATTTAGTGCTTATGTAGGAGATTGTAAACCAACGTTAGTGTAGTGAATAATAGCCAATAATAAAGCTGATAAAATTTAAAGAATACACTAAGAATTTACACGGAAACCCTTTCGGGAAAAAACCAGGGCAGAGGCAAAGAAATCACTACGTAATATTTGGAGAGTACAATATCTTTCTCACACACCACTCACAATAGAGTATTTATTTTGTTCTTCACTCTTTCTCTCATTCTAGCAACTAATGCTACCTTTTTATAGAAGAGAAGAAGGTTTCTTCAATGTGAAGATTTCGGCTCCTTACTAGCTGTCTTCATGAGCAGCCACCACTCCAGCCGCCTTTAGCCACTCCGATTACCTTCCTTTCAGGCTGCCACCAGCATCCAAGCCAAAAATCTAGACTTTCTTTGTTGAATATCTAGATAGGTTTGTGTGATTTTAAGACATATTTACAATTCTCCACCTTGGCTTGAAATCCACCAAACGTTACATATCTTTCTCCCTTGCCTCTCCACGATACTGTAACTTATTTGCAACCTCCAATAGTGTCTAAGCAAAGCTTGAACTTAGTTATTTGGAATTGGTTTGGTCATCATATCTATTGGATTCTTTACTATTTGTATCTTCTCAACTACAACCTTTCTCTCTTCAATGATCTTTGGCACAAAATGGTAGTTGACTTCAACATGCTTGGTCCTTTCATAAAACACTTGATTTTTAGAGATAAAATGGTAGCCTAAACTCTACCAAACATGGTAGAGCCAGTATGTTCTTCAACACATTAGCTGTCAAGATTACCACGATGAAAGTTGAAAACCCCACCAAGCTCAGTAACGCGAGCTTGTCACCTGAGTGGAGGCTGAGTGATGAAACGTTGGTCCCCACCCATTGAGAACCACTTGGTTTGTGGTCGGATGGCAAGACCTTAGGTTACCCAGAGGTGTTATGTTTGAATCCCACCAAGTGGCCACCTATCACATTTGTGACTTACCTGATCCATTGGGCTTGTAAGGTGTTCAATGGACCCCAAGGATTAGTCGAGGTGCACACAAGCTGGCCCGGACACTTCAGTCACCAAAAAAAAAAAAAAAAAATTTGAAAACCCCACTTAGCCCATGAAACTTATAAACATTGATATAACATTATTGACCTATTTAAAAGCCAATGCAAATGAGTGAGCCATATTCTCAATTTGCATTACCCTATCTTTGTTGCTTTCTCTTTGCTTATTCTTTGTCCTTGAAAATTTATTCCACAAAAATAGCTTCTTTTGCATCCCAAAATATGAATGTGATGAAATATGAATGCCATGATTGTGGCTAACCATTAAGATTACGCTAATCACCCAAAATCACTCAATCAATCAATTCCCTTATTGAGTGCAATTACATTATTTTGTTTCCTTATTGCATAGCTAAACTTTTCTATAAATAGGTGATGTATTCACAACTCAAAATTTTTCAATTTGATACAATTGAATTCATTTAAAGATATACTCTGACCTTTCAATTATCTGTCTTGCCCTCTCAAAGATATCTCTTGGGCATACTCTAACTTTCTTCAAATTGCCTCTCTTGCCCTCTTAATTCTGACATGGTATTAGAGCTTCCAGGTTGAATCAATTTCTGCTTAACTAGTCTCTCTTCCTTGTCCCTGCAATTCAAACAAATACTTGGTTAGCACAATACTCAACTAGCCTCTCTTTCTGTCCCTGCAATTCAAACAGAAACGTGGTTAGATTTTCCAATGACAATAACCGAAGCTCAAACTCTGACATAATCACCAACATTTGTATTTTTTACACAAGCTTGTGGTTTATGACCATAAGCTTGAGGGGGAGTGATGAAATATGAATGCCATGATTGTGGTTAATCGCTAAGATAACGCTAATCATCCAAAATTACTCAATCAATCAATTCCCTGATTGAGTGTAATTACATTTTGTGATTAGCAATCACCCAAAATCACTTAATCAATCAATTCCTTGGTTGAGTGTAATTACATTATCTTGTTTCCTTATTGTATAGTAAACTTTTTTATAAATATGTAATGTATTCACAATTCAAAACAATTCAATATGATACAATTGAATTCATTTAAAGATATCTCTCGGGCATACTATGACCTTTTAGTTGTCTCTCTTGCCCTCTCAAAGATATTTCTCAGGCATACTCTCGGGCATACTCCAGCTTTCTTCAAATTGCCTCTTTTGCCCTCCCAATTTTGATAGAATGGATCGGAACTTGATGTCTAAAAACTCAACAATGTATTTCTCATGTCCCTATTAGACGAGTCACAAGGTGAAGAGTACAATGAGGAATAGTTGAATACAATAATCTGCTCTCTAGAAGCAGAGATAAACTTAGAAACAATGGAAGATCAGGATTCTGGAATGGATAATATTCACAATTGCTTGGAGTCAATCAATCTTGATTATGAATTTGCATGGGATGATATGGAGCAAGCGAGAGGCTTCCTAACGAAGTGATGAATTGAACTCGTACATCGATTCGTATGAGTTTGGAAGAGTTGGTGATCATTTTCAGGTTTATTATGGAGTTCACTTAGAAAACCATGGCTGCCATGACTCTATGTGGCATGAAACACAGAAT